CTAGAAAGCAATATATACACAAATTTATTTGTATTGCGAAACAAGCACATTTGCTAATCGTAAGTGCAATATGACAACCCCCACTGTGCAGTAAAAACATAATAATTGGTGGATACTCTTTGTGAATCATTTCCATGTATTCCTAATTAACTTCATTGCTAAAAGCAACTAGTAACGTAGCTTAAACATCGCTGCCAAATACCAACCTGAGATATGGGAAGGGATAGGACGAGGGCTCCAAAAATTCAATCATATGCTATCAATTTGAGTGGCTCTCTTATATCAAAGAAGGATAAAACCAATCACTGCATGGTTTGGTTTACCATTCAAGCATATATTAAGTACTCTGTAAGTGTTAAAAAGTATGAGTATTCCTCCAACCCCAACAGATGATTTCTATTAATTTGCTAATTCGTCATCATTAGCACGGAAGCGTTCAGCATTTATTTCCTAGGAACAAATATCTGCTTAAAGACAAGAATCCTGGGCCAGAAAACTAAGCTGGTTGCGAATCTCAGCTCAATCAGCCTACCAGACGCTATAGTCAAGGCAGCGACAAGTTACTTGCTCTGTTTTCTTTTTGTACAGATGCATGCCATCGTTTAAAGTGATGAAATGGTCCTCTCTACTGTCAGAAGGTTGTCATGAGAATTAATCAAGAAAATGCGGGTCAAGAGGCTTAACACCAGTTGACAGGTTTCATCATAGCATACAGTAATATGTATTGTGGCTGTTATTAGTATTCTGAAGTTAATGTATGTTTTCATAGATTTTATTGGAATTTTTTGAAAGTAAGAGGATTTCTCCTAAAAACATGTTGAATAGCAAGACTATATTCTCATCTCATTTGGAGTGAAACAACAAAGTAATCAGGCCGCTCTTCATCTATAAACTCATCAGGATGCTCATGGCATTCTCTTTATTTGGCCTTTTTTTTTGGGGAAAAAGAATCAGTCAGCCAAGTGACCACATCATCGTTAGGTACGTTTTTCCTGCTTTCTTGTTGACAGCTAACAATCTTTCCACATTCTGCTTTTTAAAAAACCACACCTTCTCAACAAAGAGTTTGGAATATCAGCAGCCCCTCCTTATCTTAAGGCTCAATATACCTGTCTCCAATGCACTCGCTCTCGTAATACATGCCGGCGGCATGTTATTCCCATTTCAGTTTCAAAACTAATCTTTCTAGGATTACGCAACACTCTGGTTGGCGTACCATTTCTGTAATGAGCAAACCTCAATGAGGAGCATACAAGACGTTCGAGAGACTAAAGTCGGATCCTCAACATTTCATTAAAATGGGACCGCACAGCAATACCTTGACAATGAGCGCACTTTGCCAATTAGCTGTAACAATCATGGTCTCTTAAAAGGAGGACATTATCACCTCTATAACCTTTAAAAGTAACCTATAGAAGGTAAACCAGGTTTAGACAATATCTGCTTCGCAACTCTGTAGTATTGAAATGCTCTCAACAACGAGATATAGCCCAGGATAGTAGGTTCAGGTTATTTCAACCCTAACCTCATTCATATCTATAGACATTTAGTCCCAGGGAGCCGTCTTCAACCAAATGCTCTACATTTAACTCCCACATTCTACCCAAATAGCATCTAAGAATCCATTCTTTGTCCTGGAGAAAGCCTAATTACTCAAACGGCTAATATCATTAAGAACTCTTTTGCTGTAATGAGAAGTACATGGGAGAATCACACTACGGGAATCCACGCATTGGCCCCAAACTACAAACACCAAACAGGTTCACGCTCTGTATGAGTATATACACAGCTCTCGCAATCTGAAAATGAAACACACACCAATCATATAATAGACAAATGCTTTTGACATTACCAGGAATGTCGGTTTAGGGCTTATGTAGAGAAACAGTCGTCAGACAATAGATAAAAAAGATCAAACCATATACCGCAAACTGGTCCACAAAATGAAATAAGCCCCTCCAATCAAATTTGGAATGACAGACAGTCCATCAAAATCAGTTAGCCGTTAAAAGCAAGGATGCAAAATTGTGGAAAAATCTGAAAAAAATCTCTAATCTTTCCTTATGTAATAAGGGCCTGCATTTTCCTAAAATCAATCCCTTCTCAAAGTTTTATAAACAAGGGGGAATGAGAAAGGAATCTAGGAACGTCCCAGCTAAGCAGAACCACATTCAGATGTGGTTCTGATAGCTCAAAAAGTTCTATCAGGTTAAACAGTAACATTTTATTTGTAAAAGTATACAATTACAAACCCACAAAAAGTAAAATTAAAAACACGACGGAAAATTTAGAAATATCCCCTA